TCACATACATACACACTCACGCACATATACACTGACACACACACACATAAGACCCAGAAGTGACAGAAGGTGTGACACACAGATGCTGAATGAGGAGGATAGGATATGATCCATCTGAGTTTCTGCATGGTAGACAAAGGCCACACCAGTTTGAAAGGAATTCTATGCCAAAGGTGGAGCTGGATTTCAGTGAAGAATGGAATGAGGAAGATGGGGACAAACTCGAGGGGGAGGGGTACAGTGGCTTGGTTTGGAGAGTCAGAATACTACTATTTTTATTCCTATTTTGTTATTCTGAAAAGGGTCTCACTATGTAGACCAGGCTGGCTTGAACCTCACAGAAATCTACCTGCCTCTGCTTCCTCAGTGTTGGGATTAAACGAATGCACTACCATGCTTCGGAGACTACCATGATTACTTGAAAAGAAGAATATGAGAAAAGAGAAGAGAAAAAGTACATTTTATTTAGAAGTTGGATTGCAGGAAGCCCAGGCTGACCCTGAACTAGAGATCTTCCTGCCTCCACCTCTCGGGTGCTGGGATTATAGGTATGGATTACCCTACTTGGTTTCGAAGTGTATTTTAAATGTAAAGGGTGATGACAATAATTTTATATATTTTATATTTATTTGCTTCCTACTTTTAGTTATTTTGAGGTGGGGGGGGATGAGTCATGTAGCCCAGGTTCACCCTGATCTTGTCCAAGTACTGGAATTACATGTGTTAGGCTACGAGTGACTTAGAAGCAGATTTTGAATGTGCTAAGGAACCTAAGCAAAGTTGATGAGAATTATTATTTGTAGGCAGGGTCTCATGTAGCCCAGGCTAGTCCTGGTCCTCTTCCCTTATCTCCCAAGTGCCGCTAGCACTAGAGATGTGTGCCACAACATCTGGCTGACAAGAAAGCTACTTTAAATATAATATATTAAAAAGCACTTTTAGCAAGAAAAATCTTTTCCTAGCCACAATCTCTGAGAAGTGAAAAATGGGGTACTTTTGCTTTTGATAGTGTTTATAATCTTAGAATACATTTTATACCATGGAGATGTGCTGTGCTTGTCATAATGGGCATATGGTTACGAGTGAATGCTTCTCAGTGGAAACACTTCGGTGGGGAGGTTTATTGGAAGAAGGAAGTCACTGGAGCCTTGCACCCCAACTGTCTTTCTCTCTCACATTATCTCAAAGCTCGAATTTTCCGGCATCCTTCTCCTGCCTTCCTACAGGCTGTCTTTTAGAGCAGCGGGTGATGTGGAAGTATTTCTGTGAGAAAAACAAGGAGATGCACCGCACACAGCACCTTTAATTGAGTCCGTTTTAAAGGCTTACTGTCACTCAGAGGGTTGGCAAGGAACACCGTAGGAGCTTTAAGCATGAGCAGAAGACAGATAATGGGGGTTCTGTAAGATGAACTAAAAGTCTCAACCCCTAAAGGTTAATAATCTGCAACGTGTCTCCAGTCAATTTGTTTACCTTAGCAACCCTTTGCCTTCTTACTGGCTCCTGAGTCAAAGGAGCATGTGGGATTTCATCTAAAGCATGCAGACAATGTGGAGACATGAAAGGAAGGTTTCAGTATGGTATCTACTACCTGAGTCCATGGAGGCTTGCATCACTCAGCCGTCAGCATGCCTTTGTTACAACATTTACATGTGGAATTGTGACAGCTTAGGTCTCTCAAAGCCAAGGTGGGACTTGCAATTGGTACTGGCCAAGCAGGACCTTGGGAAGTTATCTTAATGTTTGTTTACCTTGCCTAGGCTCTTATAATAATTACTGGATTCTGACAGGTGACATTTGTGTACAGGATGTAGAGCTAGTGTAAACACTGGGTAAATGGCTGCTGTAACAAGAGCAGGCTATGGAGCCACCAGCTCACTTTCAGAATCCTTGCTATTAACAGACGTATACTGGTTTTATTCAAATTTCCCTTTGGTTCGTAAACTTGGTGTCGGGGTCAAACTTTCCCTTAACTTTGACCAGTCACATCGCACGGCTTTATCAAGCTTCCTCACTGCCCTGATTTTTATAGGAGGGCAATTGAGCCGAAAGCCAAGATAAAGGGTGGCTAACTACAGCCTGTGTTTGTGTTTTTCCGGGCATCTTCTTTGTATATACAGGAATTCTTTTGCTACTGTGAAACACCGCCCCCCCCCTTGTCATTGTTATTTATGGAGGAATGCTGGGGTGGGGGTAGGGGTGAATCTGCAACTCCCTCACTCCTCCCAAACACATTTTACTGCTGTCTTCCAAGGTGAGGACAGTCAACACACACCAAAGGACAAGGCTTTAACATATTCAGTCCCGTAAAAACCCTTCTCAACCACTGTTCAGTAGCCTTCCAGGAGCCACCTACTGTAAGTTTCCAGGTTCCCCTACCAAACATACTTTTCACAACTTTGATAGCAGAAAGCAATGTGTCTCAGATATGCGCATAGAAGCCTTAGCTTTCCGTCCCCTCCTCTGATAAATGTTTATTACTGACTCACTCTTTCTTCATTCCCTCTCTAAGGCGGTCCCTGGGTTTGAAAAGCTCGGATTAAACAATAGATGTAGCTACCATTCTTTACATCAAATGAATAGGCCCATAAAAGCTACAGTCTACAGACCAACTGAATAAGCTAACTTAGCAAATGCCTGTGTGCCTTAACCAGCTTGTGTGTGCAAGTGTGTGTGTGTGCAAGTGTGTGTTTGTGTTGGGGGGGGGAAGGAGGGGTATCTATATAATATTTTTCTTTTTCAATGTACTTTAAATGAACCAAGAAGCTAAAATTAATTACAAATAGATGTCTAATTCTCCTTCCTTCCTTCCTTCCTTCCTTCCTTCTTTTCTTCCTTTGGAATGACATGGGCAGTACTTGGGATTAATCAAAGCTAGTCATATACTGCTACTGGAGGGATGTTGGAAAACTCGCTGTTTAATGTGAGAACACAGAGGGGGTGAGCAAAATTCTTCTGAAAGATGCAACCATCAAGTCTACTGGTCTGACCAAGGCTGGAAGGCTATCTGGCTATGATATTATTAAGTTGATTTTATACATCAAGCCTGAAGAATTGAGGCTGTCCTGTCATTGCTTTCAAGCCCAGGCTGCTCTAAATAGGGTATGTTGCATGCTCGAACCAGTGTTTCCTAAATCCGTGTGTAGAGATACTTTTATGCTTACGTCCCCCCAGAGCTTGATTTTCTTTAAATTGTTAAAGTTCTCAAACATGCACAGTGTATTGGCTTCATATAACCGTCATCCAGACTCAACAGCCATCAGCATCTTCCCGTTATCCATCCCCCTTTCTTCCTTTCACTCTCTTCTATGCATGATGCCTGGAACTCTTACACTTTTACATCATTGTAAGTCATGATGCCATCACAACTAGGGCTAACGGTGTGTGACTGAGTCGGGCGGGGGAGGCTGGGGTGGGGGGAGGCGCCGGGGCCGGGGGAACCCCGTCTGTCCAGAAATACCTCATGGGAAGGGCACTCGAGAATGAAGCGAAATGCATCTCCTGCGGAAGCAGTTGTGTCTGTATAGTTTTCTTCTCCTGGGAAAATTAACTGAAGAAATGAGAAATAAGGTCAATTAAAAAAAAAAAAACACATCACGGCATCTGGAGAACGTGGCAGCATCTTCACAGCAAAACTGTTCTGAGGTTGTTTATTATTTCTTCATCTGAGATTAAGCTGTAAACAAATCACTGGGGTACACAGACACGCAGGTACATTCCTAACACCCGTGTTGGCAGTAAGACCTGGGCGGTGACAGCCTCCTGGACATGTTTCTTTCACCCCATTCTTACACTTCTTTAGGGAATTAGTGGCAGTTGTTTTACATTGTCTAGGATATTCTGCATTTTAGAAAACTAGAGATCAGAATTTTATATTTTGGATTGAGTAGCGATTGCTATAGGCAGTAAAGAACTGGCTACCTTGTAACTTTTCCCCCTTATGTATGTAAAAGGAATGATTTGAATAACCTCAGAGCAACCAAAGTCCTAATTAAAAGCAGGGGCTGACTTCAGCCAAGCTACACCATCTTCCATCTAACCAAAGGAACATTTTATCACGTCTATACTGACACCCTTGGATGTGACTATTGTCATCTTTTTGTTGAAACTTGACTCTGCAACTTTATGTGTCAGAAAACTTACAGCTAACACAATCCTTGAAAAAATTTAAAAAAAAATTGACCACACATACCTTTTACATTTTTGCCTTAAACGTCATAAAATAATAAATAAATAAATAAATAAATAAATAAATAAATCCTTGTCCTGTGTAGTTAAATAACCAGAGATGGCAGGCTGTCAGTGGACCAGTTTTATCATTTCACATTGTTACATCATGATTTTTGGCTATCTCAATTTACAATGCCCTCCTCCAATCAGCAACATGCATGCCCTCTGATAAACTTATGTAGATTTTCCCTTTTACCTAAAAATCTAAGTTTATTAGTAGACCATCATTTTCCCGTCTACTTACTTGTATGGACAATAGTTTTGAGAATTATTTTCTTAGAAAAATAATTGTAAAATACATAACAATATTTTAAAATGCAGCCACTTAGAAAAAAAAATTCCCAAATAGGATCCCACAATGAGATAGCTAAGGTGCTTCAGAAATCCTACCTATTTCCCTCAGTACTCCTTACTGTAAGTGTACCTAAGTCATTCTCAGTATAAACAGTCACACTTAGAGATCCAGAAGCACAAACAAGGAAGCAAACAAGTTACCTAAGCCAATTATTTCAAAGACCTACCTGGTTTCTGTTCGCTGATAAAAAGGAGACTCATCACAAAAATAAAAAATACCCAAAAAAGGGGCTGGAATCTCATCTTTTTTCTTTTATCTTTTCTTTTCTTCTCTTTTCTTTTTCTTCTTCTTTTACACACAAATGGACAATAGCTCTCCAAGTAAAGTAATTGACTGTAAGTAGCCTGGGCAGTATCTGTCTAGCTCACCCCACATCCTACGGCCAGACCTCAGAGGGCTGCCAGCTGCTTTTCCCTGAAAAGGTTAATGATCACATCAGACAAGGTTACTGGTGCGCGGGGCTGCGGTCAGAGCTCCCAAGCCACAAGCCCCTCCTCCATTCCTCTCTGCGGTTCCGCCGCCACTCCCCCTTATTTCCATAAGCAAATATTGGTGAAATGGACCATTCAGGCACGCAGTAACTTCAGCGGGAAGTCTCCTCCGCAAAGCTCCAAGGAGAGTGACTCCAATTCAATCTGTTTATGAAGAAATATGTAACACAAGACATTGCCTGCCTCCTCTACCCTCCACTGCATCTGTTTAAACTTTGCATTGCCCATATTGGTCCCACATGCAGAAATCAGTGTAAAGGACGGGAAGTCTCCCTTTTGTCCTCTTGCAGAAGGAATGCGGAGCTCTAACTTAAAGATTCCCAAACGCTTTGTATGGACTCCGTGTTGGAGCGCTTCCTCTTTGTCAAAGCTACTACAAAGTAGTGCCTATTTATATTAAATCTCCAAATGGCTTAGTGTGTGTGGGTTCCCACCATCAGAGATTCTTAGAGTTTAGAAGGTTCAGAAATAAATCTGTGAAATGTTTATCTTTTCATTTAAGTGCAGTTTAAAAAGTGATGGAGATCGTTTTCATCTGCAAATATCCAAGAGTTTTCAAAACGAAGTCCAGGCAAGCCACAAACATAAAGTCAGTGCTCTGCTGAAAACTTGCAAGCGGTGGAGTGTCAGGTAAACATCACCCTCATGGAGACCAGATTACAGATGGAGAAAGAATGTTGCAGTCCGTCTCTAAACAGTCAGGAGAAACAAAAGGAGTCTAGTTTTTGTCTTGCACACCCACCCACATCTCCAAGGGCTTTCTTACCTGAAATAAAAGGCTGTTATATATGAGAATTATTGTAATTATTCTAATCCAGAAGGATATGTAGCTATACTCTGAAATATAAGTGGACCCAAGCACATGTAAGTGATTGTGAGTTTTCAGGAACTTTGTTCCATTTGGCATTTTTAAAGTCAGGAGGTGGTCACACACAACCTTGGGCTTCTTAAGGTTTGAAATGCACAAATCGTTTTGATTTTACACACCAGTCTGTAAAATTCCCTATCTGCCTAGTTATTGCAGATTATTGCAGTTATTGCAGAACCTTAAAAAATTCATTAAGACATTTTTAAAAAAATTATTTAAGGTCAAGTGTGGTGGCACCTATTTTTAATCCCAGCACTCAAAAGTCACAGGCAGGCAGATCTCTGTGAGTTCCAGACCAGCCTGGTCTGTACAATGAATACCAGTAGAGACAAGGCTATATAGCAGAGTGACCCTTCTCAAAAATAGATGATAGAAGAGATAGATAGATAGATAGATAGATAGATAGATAGATAGATAGATAGATATAGTAAAAATTATTTATTTACTAATTTATTTATTGTCTGCAACATTATTTATTATTTGTAAGTCTGAGCACCGTGTATACATGGTACCTACAGAGTCCAGAAGAGGCCATCAGGTCCCTTGGAGCTGTAGTTACAGGCTGTAGTGAGCCCCTGTGTGCATGCTGGAATGAACTCAGGCCCTCTGACAGAGCAGCTCCAGCCCTTAACTGCTGAGCCATTTCTCTAGATCTGTTTCATATGTACTGTTGTTGGGTTGTTTTGTCTGTTTGTTTTTTTAAAGAATTTTTTTTTAAAGCATAAACTAGGTGTGATAGCACACGCCTTTAATCCCAGCCCTCAGGAGGCAGAGGCATGGGGATCTGAGAGTCTGAGGCCAGCCTGGTCTGCAGAGCAAGTTCAAGGACAGCCAAGGCTATACAGAGAAATGCTATCTCAAAAAAAGGAAAACAAAAACCCACAAGCAAAGAATTTTATGAGACTGGAGTGCCGGCTGTGTGATTAAGAGCGCTTCCTGCTCTTCCAGAGGACCTGAGCTCAGATCCTAGCAGCCATACTGGGTGGTTCGCAACCACTTGAAACTCCAGCTCCAGCTGTTTTCTGGCCTCTGCAGGTACCTGTCCTCATGTGTACACATCCATATACAGACATACACATATATACATAATTTTAAAAAACCAAACTTTTTTAAAAAAGAATTTTATGTATGTGTGTGTGTCTTTCTATCTGTCTGTATGTATGTGTCCAAGGAAATGAGAAGAAGACATTGGATCACCTGTAGTTCAAGTTATAGGCAGTTAGTTATGCACGACACCTGACACTGGTACAGAGAACATAGTTCAACCCTTCAGGAAGAAGCAGTTAATAGTAAGTACTCTTAACTACTGAGCTCTCTTCAGCCCTAGTACAGAGTCTATTATAGTTGAAATAATGGCCTAATCTAAAGAGCAAGTGTTGATTTAGGAGAAATCTCCGTGTGTGTGGTGGCGCTCACCTTTAAGCCGAACTCTTGGGAAACAGAATCCAGGCAGATATTAATGAGTTTGAAGCCAGTCCAGCCTATATAGGGATTTCCAGGCCAGCTTGGATTATAGAGAGACCCTGTTCTTTATGGAGAAACTGAAGTTCTCTTTCATTCTTAGCCTACTTAATAAAAGAATTTTAAAGCAGACTTGATGATAGGAAGCTCAAAAATAGTTTTATTAGTTTTGGGGAACAAAAGGATAATACAGGCAAGATGTAAATCTGGGAAGATGCCCAGAAGAGGAGGATGAAGAAGAGGAACACACACACACTGAGAGAGAGAGAGAGAGAGAGAGAGAGAGAGAGAGAGAGAGAGAGAGAGAGAGAACATGACATTTGTACAGACTCATAGCAGATGGGGGGATAGGGCAAAAGAGCCCAGAGTGTCACAGGAAGCACAAGCAGGTTTAGAGGTGGGTTAGAAAAAAATAATGAAAGGAAAAAAGGGACAGTTGCATCTTTCTAAGTTCAAGGCCATAGTGAGTGACTCAGAACGGTAGATGGTGGTACTCCTACATGACCTAGCTCTGCAAACAACTATAGGGGAGCTGGTTCTGGGAAGACAGGTGTATTACCTCATTGAGGGGATAATTACTCCTCCCAGTTCCATCTCCTTAGCATGACTTTAAGTGAATCAGCTTTCCTGGGGTGCAGTCTTTTGCCCTGATGATTGACAGGCCCAGATGTACTAAGTCTCAAGAAAGGAAACAATAATGGTATATAATGTTCCAATCGTTAGAGCTAATCAGAATGGTGTGTGTTACCCAGGGACAGAGGTGGATTTCGTTGTTTTGAGCATGAAAAACTAGAAATAGCTTTACTCTTGGTGGACTTCAATAAAGCCATATTTGTCCTCTGTAGCCTCCAAGACTATTGAACACTGCCTCACAAATGGCGACAAAGTCTGTGAGGCAGCTTAGAGGTGAAGGCTTGCTGACAAGTCCAACAACCTGAGTTTGATCCTCAGGATTCATATCGTAAAAGGAGAAAATTCTTGAACCTTATCCTTTTGACGTCCAAATGGAATTGTGTGCTCACACACATATGCATAATAAATGAGTTTATAAATGTTAAAATTCACTAAATAACAACAAACTGCCACATACAGATGAAAATACTGGTTTGTTGAGACAAAGGGTTGCAAAGGCATTGTAGCTTCCAGTCTACAATGCTTTTAGCTCCTGATTCTCCTACCGGTATCTCTTGTGTGCTGGGATTATAAGTCTGTACCACTCTGTCTAGCTAAATATTTGGAATTTGTATTGGTGGAGTTATAAAGGTTTAGTGAAGGACTATATTAAACTAGTAAGATGGTAGACATTTATTTATATAGTTTAAACTATTTCTGAAAAATTGTGATGCTCGGTAGTGGTGATGGTGGTGGTGATGGTGGTGGTGATGGTGGTGGTGATGGTGGTGGTGATGGTGGTGGTGATGGTAGTGGTGATGTTGGTGGCGATGGTGGTGGTGGTGGTACAATCCTTTAATCCTAGAACTTGGGAGGCAGAGGCATGCAGATCTCTGAGTTGGAGGCCAGCCTGGTCTACAGAGCAAGTTCCAGGACAGCCAGGGTTACCCAGAGAAACCCTGTTTTGGAAACCCAAAAGAGAAAAGAAAAAAAATGTGCGTAACAAGGCTTGCCTTCATACATGTACAACAGCCCATGAGTACAGAACTGGTGGACCTCTGAAATGCCAGGCACTGACGAACAATGTCATAAGAGCAGCATTTGCGTGGATGTGTGGCAACGGTCAGTCATTCATCTTGGCATTGAGCAACCAGGTGTGGGGAAATGCTGGCAGGAAGGTGGAGTCCAAATGGTGCCTGTGGCTCTGCACCACTCCCAGCTTGCAGCTGTGTGAAATGAGGATTCTTCCACAGTAGTGCCCACACAGGCCAGCCTCCAGCAGGTGAGCCAAAAACACTGTCTCTCTGGGCCAGGCACCATGCTCAATATATTCCATGCCTCACATCACAGCATCTGCCCCAGATACTGAAGTATTTATTATTCTCCCTGCTTACTTGATGAAGGAATTGATAGCTAAGAAAGAAGAGTGGATAGGGTTAATTCCATGATCTGAGTTTTCAGCCATTTTGCTCCAGTTTCTTCTTTAAGGTGAAAATTCTAGTTCCTATTTTAAAAGTAGCTTACTGAAGCCAGTATAAAAATAAGGGTAGGCTGGGCCTGGTGGCACCCACCTTTAATCTCAGTATTTGAGAGGCAGAGGCAGACAATCTCTGTGAGTTTGAGACCAGCCTGCACTTCAGTGCTAGTTTCAAGACAACCAGGGCACAAAGAAACCTTATCTTAAAAAACAAAGAATACTGTAAAAATGAGGGTATTTCTTGGATGTGCTAGGGCATACCTTTAATTCCAGTGATAAAAGCGAGAAAGAATTCAAGGCCGTTCTTCACTACATAGGATTTCCTGGCTCGATAGCTATGTATAGATCCTCTCTTAAAAAAAAATAAAAAAGATATCCAAATTGTCATCTAGATTTTTATCTACCCCAGCTTAGGGCAACTCTCAGCCTTTATCAGAGAATACCACAGAAGCTTCACCTGCGTTGGAGTACAGTAGTTCATACAAAGAGTCACCAGTGAAGGAAGTACAAAGAATGTGACTCTGGTGTGCTGGACCCTAAATGAGCCACGTGTATCACCCCAACCCCAAGACTCAGGGAATACCGTAGAAAAGGGGCTGGAAAGAAGCCAGAGGTTGGTGGACAGGCTGTCAAATAGTGTCTTCTGGACATAACATGATTGATGAGCTCCTGAACTCACCACAACTGTGGTTTTCCACACAAAGCATCCCTC